ACTTAACTGTGATGGGAGCTATTTCGATACGAAATTATTATAATTTTATTTGGTGACGCCACAATATCACCTCCTCTTCTTGTGGCCTCCTAATAATGAGTATATAACCCCAAATGCATCGTCAAATGTTGTATCATAATGCGGATAACTTGGTTTTCTGTTGAGTTTCTGGACACGTGGAAATAATTGGAAACGAAATAGCTTATCAGGCAGCAAATACTATCCTCAAGGAAACCAGAGTTCATTTCCTTACAGTGGATACGGATGATACGAAGCCATTTATCAAACGTTCCATTCTCAGTGCATGGTAAACTAAGTGGGAGAACTAGGATTTTACGCTCAGATAATCAAGGCCTCCATAAATCCTTGGGCGTCCTGATCTCATGTTAGATGCAGGATAATTCTTCATACACGCTTTCATATCTGTGTCTGCCTCTCCTCACACGAGTATGTTATCCGCGGTGACTCATCTCCTACTTGCGATACATTCACATCGGACATTACAGAGCACGCTCACGTGCACCGTGGCAAGGCAACCGGCAGTCGCCCAAGTCATCGCTTCGTCAGCTCTCTGGTAGAGAAATTTCGTAACGACGAATTCTCTCTTTAAAAGCATTTTGGCTTCCTTCTGGAAAATGGAATACATAGGTTAATCTGGAAAGAGAGAGAGATATTATGCTAATTATCATGGCTAGATATGATTTTGTGTGTGTGTTCACCTGACACGTATGTTTACATATCCTTCGTTGTACAAATAGATATTACTCTTGTACACCATTGGTTTTCTTTACTCATTTTATGAGAAGTTGTTCGTAATTGGGAAATTAAAAAAAAATAGTTTGAGATTGGTTCGTATAAACGTTATTCGAAACCGCCCTTAAAAACGTAATCATGGTAATGATAATCAAAATTACATTTGTATCTCATTATTTATGTCTCAATGAGCCCTTAGAACTCTATCTTAAGAAAAAAGTCTCTTAACAATTAAGATTCTAATATCTTTAGGATTTTCTTGCTATGTAAAATCACCTAACTTGGAAAGAGAGGTAAACAGTCAAAACACGAATGCCTATGCACTATTGAAAACCTGATTTTTCAGTAGTACATAATCTGAGGGGGAATTAATTGTTATGGGGGACACTAATTAGTAGGAATAAATAATAGAGCTATTTCGATAAAGGAAAATTATGTTCAGGAAAAAGGAGGATTAGGAGATGGAAAAGATAAAAATATAAAGAATTTGATCCTCCCTTTAATAAGTATCTCCCTCCTCTTTCTTCATGACGGTTTGTAAATTGAAGACAGTGCGATTTTTTTAGCATGGTTTTAATAATAATTTCTTGTTACAGAGCAACCAGTCACCTGTAGTGGATCTGTTCACGGATCTCAGAGACGGCAACAGACTTCTTACCTTGTTGGAAGTTCTTACTGGAAAAACATACGTAAGTTCCTTAGAGATAAGATCGCAATTTACGAATCCCAATGTTCTCTTTTTGCCGTGCCATCACAGTGCACTACCTGTGTTGCTTATATGAGAAGGGAACTATTTTTCTATAACTGAGATTTTTGCCTTGCCACGGTCATGTTATGCGAATGACAGACGAAAGATGGCCAAAACGAGTCCTGAAATGGGTACCGACAGAA